GTCCGCTCGCCCGACGCCGCGGTCCGCCCCGGGCGCGCCCACTTCCGCTCGGAGCTTCCTCAGGGTAGTGTTGGCGCCTGGAGCCGCCGACCGCCCTCGGTGTCAGCGGTCCCCGTGGCCCTGTCCCAGCGCCACCTGGCCCTGTAGACGCCGGCGCCCAGTGCCCTGCGCGTGCCGGGCTGGGGGGTAGGCCGGCGTTTCCCGGGCGATGCAGCGCTTCCTGGGACCGGGCTGCTTTGAACAGCGCTCACGTGCTCTGTCTTTTGAGCGGCACGTTTATTGGATCTCAGAAATGCCTCCTTGGCGGGGTCTGATCACCCGCGTCGCTGTGCGCTGAGGCTGCTCAGCTGCCCGTCACCCTGGACTGGGACGCGCCTGTCCGTTCAGCGTTCTTAGTCTGCGTGGGCTGCTGGGACAACCGCCGACCAGGCAGTTCGAAGCAGAGTTGTGCGAAGCCAGCGGCAGGGCTGCTGCTCGTGAGGCCCCCTTCCTGGCTCGCAGGTGGCCAGCTTCTGTCGCGTTCGTCCTTCACCCTGCGGCAAGTCCTGGGTCTCCTCCGCCTCTTAGTGGACCCCACATGACCTCGCGTAACCTTACTGTTTCCCTAAAGGGGCTGTGTCCCAGTGCAGTCGCTGGCTGTTGGGTACACGTTAGCTTAAACGTGGAGAGAAGGGCACAGTTCCGTCCACCACACTCCGAGGGGTGTGTTTGCCCAACTAGTGGCAAGAGCGAGGTGGTGCTCGGGTCCACAGCAGTGCCAGTCTTTGCCAGGATGGGAAAGAAACCCTGCCTTTTGCTGTTATCACTAGCCGACCCCAAGGGTAGCTGGGAGAGCTGCCTCGCTGAGCTCTCTGAGGCTGAGACCAGACTCAGCTGGCCAGCTCCCACTTGAGCTCTGTGCACTGTAGCCCCGGGTTGGGACTGGAGTCGCCGCAGGGGCGATGAGGCTAGAGCCGCACCCAGCCGGACACCTGCTCCTCTGTGCTCAGCGTCCTCTCAGCAGGGGCCTGGCCTGGACGGAAAACAGCCCCAGAGGTCCCACAGAAGCCTTAATGCTGGGTGTGAGTAACCCTTAGGCACCCAGAGGTCCCTTCTACCAGAGGCACAGATCGCCTGGCTTAAGGGGGAGTGACAGGGACACCCCTTGATGGGAGATGCACCAGGCAAAAGGACGCGTGGGATGGGGCATCTTGGAGAGGATTTTCTACTGCGCCGGCTTGGATCAACAGACCCTGGAAGAGCAAAAAGATTTCACCAAGCGGGGGTGAGACTCAAGAACCAGACGTGGAAAAGTACATGGTCTAGGACCCAGCAAGTGGTGTGGAGGTTGTGGGCAGTCATGGTTCGAGTCCTGAACCCGGCAGCTTGCGTACCACGCCAGGCACGTGCGTGCCCAAAGTCCTGAGAAGAGAATGGAGGAGAAGGGATTGAGGCGTGGCCATCCCCTCTGGGGTGAGTTATCACTTCGTGTCTCTGGTGAACGCATGCGCCTAGTGGCTTGGTCTAGGAACAGTGAGTGGGCCTGTGTGAGGGCAGACACAGAGACGGTGCTGAGTGGGAGCCTCGGGCCAGACTGCGAAGGGCCTGGGAGCGAGGAGTGAGGAAGAGTTCCTTGTTGAGAAGAATGGGTGGGACGGGCAGTGCACGCGCCTGTCAACTGCTTCATAGTAACAGCCGCTGGAAACACTCCTCATTACCAGGGAGATTTTCGGTCTGAAGTTGGGAATCTTGGCGCGGTGGCTACGAGGGAGTGTGCCTGTGCCAGAATGCCATCTCAGGTTCGTGGACACACACTCTCTCTCCACACCTCTCCACCCAATAAAACATACAGTTTAATGAATTTTTGTGTGAGATTTTTTGTTCTAAGGTGCGTGCAAGGAATCACCCCCCAGGGCAGATGGCCACACCACAGTCTCTTCTCAGTTCTCCTTCTTGGGATTTTGGGCGTGCACAGATGCACCCAGCGTGAGTTTTGTTTTGTTTTGTTTTGAGATGTTTTTGCTATAGGGCACGTGCACTCACCAGAAAGACAGAGAGAGAAAGCGAGAAATCACCTCCCGGGGGATGGCCACGCCGCAATCCCTTCTCCTCCATTCTCTTCTTGGGATCTTGGGCACGCATGCGCACACACACCTGGTGTGAGTTTAAGCCACTGGGACTTGAACCACAGTCAACTACATGGTAGTCCAGCAACACAGCCATTACGCCAACTGTTGGTCCCCTCAGCGGGTGTTTAAATCACTGGGTCCGTGATTTGAACCGCGGTCGACCACGTGGGACTCCAACAACATAACCATTACGCCATCTGCTGGTCCCAGTTTAGTTGAGTCTTAAGGAAGAATGTCTTGAGACCAGGACTCTACCTGGTTAAGAAGCCATGGGAGGGGCCAGCAGGTGGTGTGGTGGTTAAGGCGCTGGAATTCCTACATGGCCCACCACGGTTCGAGTCCTGAACCTGGCAGCACTCATGCGCGCTCGCTCTCTTTTTCTCTCTCTCTCTCTGGCAAAAACTCATGTGAAAAAAATAATAAGTAAATAAAATAATTTAAAAAAAAAAAGAGGAAGCCATGGGAGGCTTGGAGGGAGGGCAGGGAGCCCAAAACATTGCTGGCAGCGGTGACAAAGAGGTGAGGTTCGTTTGGGTGACAGGCTGGAGGTGGTAGAGGCCATCGGAAAAGGCTGGTGTCGGTACTGGATGCCTTGGGACTGCCGCGTGGGGTCACAGGCGCTGTGGTGTAGTCTTGCCAGAGGAGCGAGTCGCCTGGGCTGTGCCGGCTGCTGCCATTCAGAGATTCAGCAGAGGACGTGTTTATGGAAGAAGACAGGCTGAGTTTCAGTGGAGGGGAAATGGACGTTCGCGCGGGGTTTCGAATGAAGTCCAGCCAGCCGCTGAAGTGAGAAGCTGCACTTGAAGGATATGTTAAAGAGCAGGGTTTGCAGGTTTGGGCGACGCAGCACTTAGGCTGAAGGCAGAGGCTGGACTAGGTGAAAATAACGGCGGGGTGGGATTCTGGGAGGCGCCAGCTTGTAAGGAGTTTCAAGGAGGTGTGGCGCCTTTCCCTGTTTGCAGGTTGGACCCTGGTACCCCCTGCTGATGGTGTAAACAGCCACGAAGCCCTCGTCCTACAGCTGCCCGGAGCTGACTTCCCCGACCTGGGAAGCTTCCCTGGCACCAAGTCCCACTGTGCGCATGGCCACAGCCTCTCCCAGCGCTGTGCTTGTGTGGTCTCCCCTCCTGGGCGTGGGTATCCGGTAGCCCTCCAGTCTCTGGTCTCTGCGACATGACCCGGTACCACAGCCTCACCTTCTCAGCTGAGAGCACCGAGGTGCCCATCTTACAGCGGTTTGCAAATTGGTGTAATCTTTCTGCAAACAACTGCCAGCAGGGGTTTCTTCTGGATCAGCTGCTTTCCTGCCCTGCAGCACCCTCTAGGGCTCAGCTCCAGGCCGTGCCCTGCCCTCTGACCTCTCTGCAGCTCGACCTGACAGCGGTTAGGACATGTTTTTGGAGCGGGTGACGAACAGCAGGGAGATGATAACAGGCAGCCGTCCTGAGGAACTTGCAGCCTGGAAGGGAGCCCTGTGACACTCTCTCCCCCAGCCTTGTCCAGGCCTGGGGCCAAAGCTGCCCTGGCACTCCCTCACAGCCCGGCACCACCTCTGACCTTGGAACTAGCGTCTGCCGCCTCGCTTCATTTTCCAGAGTCCAGGACATTTTGAAGGGGCTCGGAGGGGTCATCACAGTTCTGCGTCTTACCCTGAAGTCCAGATCACCAGACCTCTCTTGTTAGCGAGTTTACCTTCTGGTGTCCGAGCCGCTGGAATTCACTGGGAAGCCAGCCTCCCAAGTCACTAGTAGTCGTCCCTGTTGCTTGCTGTCCTCTCTGCTCCACTTTCAGAGGCTGGGAGCTGCTATGTGGTCATCCAGCCCCTGGCGAGAGCAATGTCCCCGGTAGGCAGAGGTAGATGTGAAGGTGATCTTGACAGGAAGGCCGGGAGACTCATCTGTTGGTAGCTACTTTAATTATTTGGCTCTTTCCTTTGAAAGAGGCCACAAAATACCTACAAGCCAGAACCTGTGCATGTGCACATCGGGGAGACCATGCCGGGCAGCCTACGTCCTTAGAGCCCCGTAGGGCCGGCCTGGTGGGGCAGCAGTGGCTTCTCGCTGCCCTCTAGTTCCTGGGTCAGTGCTGTGAGCGCCAGCCGGGGGTGAGTCATTACAGGGCCAGCGCTGCCTAAGTCTTGAAAGCACCACTCAACCCGCGGGTGCAGAGTTTATGCTGGGATTTGTTTTGCCAGAGAGAAAGGAAGCACCCCTCTGGGGCACAGTGATGCTACAGTCCTTTTTCTTCCATTTCTCCTTCCCAGGCACGCATGCACGCTGTGTGTTTTTCAAACTCCAAGGACTGGGGTTCCAGCTGGGTGTGCAGGACCCAGCTCTCAGCGCACAGCAAATAACTGCTATGTCAGGGGCTGGCCCAGGTGTATTGAGTATCCTGCTGCCACCCTCATTCTCTTTGGAGGGAAAGTGTCTGAAAGTTAGCTTTGCACCAAGCACTGTTTCTAACCATATGTTAACTTACTGAATCTTTCCAGCAACCCCCAGAGTTACCTGATTATCACCATTCATAGGAGAGGAAACAGAAATTAAAATGACTTGCCCCCTGCCACACAGGCTGCAAGAGTCCAGGCTTGTTGGCCCTTCTAGCATTTTATTACAAATGGTACATTTCTGTTACTGTGGCAACTTTGTTCTAAAACGCCAAGGACTTGTCTTCCCACTTACAACCAGGCACTTTGGCCCTGCCAGTATTTTACTACAAATGATAACGTTTTTGTTACTGTGGCAACTTTGTTCTAAAACGCTAAGGAGCTGTCTTCCCACTTAAAACCAGGCACTTTGACCTTGCCAGCATTTTCTCAGAAGTGATACATCATTGTTACTGTGACAGCTTTGTTCTGAAATGCTAAGGACCCGGCTTCTTACGAAACCGCTGAACTGTTGCAGGGACTCCGCTGAACTGTTGCAGGGACTCCTGTGCTGATCCTCGGACACCCTGTTGCTCAAGTCATTTTTCCTGCTGCGGGGCACTGTCCTTGCCAGTCCGGTCCCCACTCTCCTCGCCTGTTTTGCCATGTGAATCCAGTTCTCTGGATCCGTCCTGTGCCCACCTGCTGCCCCTACACCCACTGTGTCACTATTTCCTTCACGTCTAGCTCCTCTTTCCTTCCAGAGTCAATGCCTGTGTGGATGTGGTGCTCTCAGGGGTGAAGCTTTTGCAAGCGCTGGGCCTGAGTCCTGGGGACGGGAGAGACCACGCCATTCTGCATTCACAGAATGATCTGGAAGAAGCCTTCCTCCACTTCATGGGGAGAGGAGCAGCTGCTGAGCGCTTCTTCAGTGACAAGGAGGCCTTCCATGCCATCGCCCAGGTGGCATCGGAGCTCCCTGGCGCCCAGGTCTGTTCACTCACGTTGGCACGTTGGGGTACAGCGGGAATGAGGCCTTCTTCACGTGACTTCTCGGAGCAGCCGGCCCAAACTGGTGCCCACTGGGAATGCAGTCTGGCTGCTTCCCTTCTGTAGAACCGCACCTCTGACCTGGCACCTCCACTCCTTCCAGTCCAGTTCTGCCAGCACCGATGAAGCTCATTGCCTTCGGTGTCGGTGTTACGCAGGGCGAAGGTGGCGAAGCTCTGAGCCTGGTAGCCATCTTGACGTGGCTGGGTCCTTCCTAAGCTGGAGGACAGGGCCAACCCTAGAGGGCTGCAGCCTACGTCCTTAGAGCCCCGTAGGGCCGGCCTGGTGGGGCAGCAGTGGCTTCTCGCTGCCCTCTAGTTCCTGGGTCAGTGCTGTGAGCGCCAGCCGGGGGTGAGTCATTACAGGGCCAGCGCTGCCTAAGTCTTGAAAGCACCACTCAACCCGCGGGTGCAGAGTTTATGCTGGGATTTGTTTTGCCAGAGAGAAAGGAAGCACCCCTCTGGGGCACAGTGATGCTACAGTCCTTTTTCTTCCATTTCTCCTTCCCAGGCACGCATGCACGCTGTGTGTTTTTCAAACTCCAAGGACTGGGGTTCCAGCTGGGTGTGCAGGACCCAGCTCTCAGCGCACAGCAAATAACTGCTATGTCAGGGGCTGGCCCAGGTGTATTGAGTATCCTGCTGCCACCCTCATTCTCTTTGGAGGGAAAGTGTCTGAAAGTTAGCTTTGCACCAAGCACTGTTTCTAACCATATGTTAACTTACTGAATCTTTCCAGCAACCCCCAGAGTTACCTGATTATCACCATTCATAGGAGAGGAAACAGAAATTAAAATGACTTGCCCCCTGCCACACAGGCTGCAAGAGTCCAGGCTTGTTGGCCCTTCTAGCATTTTATTACAAATGGTACATTTCTGTTACTGTGGCAACTTTGTTCTAAAACGCCAAGGACTTGTCTTCCCACTTACAACCAGGCACTTTGGCCCTGCCAGTATTTTACTACAAATGATAACGTTTTTGTTACTGTGGCAACTTTGTTCTAAAACGCTAAGGAGCTGTCTTCCCACTTAAAACCAGGCACTTTGACCTTGCCAGCATTTTCTCAGAAGTGATACATCATTGTTACTGTGACAGCTTTGTTCTGAAATGCTAAGGACCCGGCTTCTTACGAAACCGCTGAACTGTTGCAGGGACTCCGCTGAACTGTTGCAGGGACTCCTGTGCTGATCCTCGGACACCCTGTTGCTCAAGTCATTTTTCCTGCTGCGGGGCACTGTCCTTGCCAGTCCGGTCCCCACTCTCCTCGCCTGTTTTGCCATGTGAATCCAGTTCTCTGGATCCGTCCTGTGCCCACCTGCTGCCCCTACACCCACTGTGTCACTATTTCCTTCACGTCTAGCTCCTCTTTCCTTCCAGAGTCAATGCCTGTGTGGATGTGGTGCTCTCAGGGGTGAAGCTTTTGCAAGCGCTGGGCCTGAGTCCTGGGGACGGGAGAGACCACGCCATTCTGCATTCACAGAATGATCTGGAAGAAGCCTTCCTCCACTTCATGGGGAGAGGAGCAGCTGCTGAGCGCTTCTTCAGTGACAAGGAGGCCTTCCATGCCATCGCCCAGGTGGCATCGGAGCTCCCTGGCGCCCAGGTCTGTTCACTCACGTTGGCACGTTGGGGTACAGCGGGAATGAGGCCTTCTTCACGTGACTTCTCGGAGCAGCCGGCCCAAACTGGTGCCCACTGGGAATGCAGTCTGGCTGCTTCCCTTCTGTAGAACCGCACCTCTGACCTGGCACCTCCACTCCTTCCAGTCCAGTTCTGCCAGCACCGATGAAGCTCATTGCCTTCGGTGTCGGTGTTACGCAGGGCGAAGGTGGCGAAGCTCTGAGCCTGGTAGCCATCTTGACGTGGCTGGGTCCTTCCTAAGCTGGAGGACAGGGCCAACCCTAGAGGGCTGTGTCTGGCCTTTGCGTGGAAAGGGGGAGGCAGGCCCCACCTTCGTTCCTCAGCAGAGCATGGCGGTGTGCCGGGTGCGTAGTGCTTGGTGGTGGGCTGTCTCTCCAGCCTCTGCTCCCTGGGTGCACTCTCCCTGCACCCACTGTGACAGCCAGGTGTCTCTTGACACCCTCCAGTGTTCCTGGGTGAGGAGGAGGGGGCACGACCACCTGGGTTGAAAACAGGTGGTTTAGGTCGGTGCTTCTGGCACTTGAGCAGTGTCAGAGTCACTGGGAGGGACTGCAGGGACCCAGAGTTCCATGCAGTAGATGCAGGAGGGGATGAGAATTCGCCGTTCCAGCCAGGTTCCCAGTTGGTGCTGTTGGTCCGGGAACCCTGTAGGGTGCACTTTGTCAGAGGCAGAAGGAACCTGCGTAGTCCCCACGCTCACCTGGTGACCACAGTACGGCCAGGGGCCAGGGCCACGCCGGGGCTCCCCCACCCCCCACAAACCACACTGCTTGTGCCCCAGGAAGCTGAGCCAGCTGGTCATTGACACCTCCCCCCAGCCCTGGGTTCTCACTGGAAACCCTCCTTGGACATCCTTTCCCAGCCTGGGTCTGCAGCCCTGGCCGGACACGCTCAGTGCCATTGTGATCGGTGCCTTTCCCAGCAAACCTGCATGACCGCTTTCATTTAGATAGAGCGTGACGGTCTGAACGTTAGAACGGGGCTGGGTGTCACCCCATCATTGCGAGTCGTTAGTAATCCGGTTACGACCGTCCGACAACTGAGCTCGGTAGTGAAGAGAGTCCTGAGGGTTTGGACAGGAGGTGCGTCTACTCGGAGGCCGTTAGGGTCATGCTCCTTGAACCGCCAGGTGACCCTTCCACTCTCACCTTCCTTGGATCCTGCCTTTGGTTTCACAATGAAAAGGAAATTCTACAGAAACTTTAGCTTTTTGATGGTCCAAGTTATTTTTTTAAACATAAACTCTAAAACGTGCTACTTGTCACAAAGGCAACACCTTGATTTTGGGCCTCTTCAAGTTCCCTTGACCGCTGAGGCGGGCTGACTGAACCCCGTGATGTGAAAACCTGCTGCCCACCTTGTCGACACGTAGTGCTGCCCCGAGGTTTTAGTAAACTCTCCTTGCCAGCACGGCACACAGCACTAGGGCTGACACGAGCCTGCATCTCACAGAGAGTTCTAAGTTACCCACACGTGGCCCTTCTGTCCCACCTGACTCAGGGTGAGAGCGCTTTCTGGCTTCTGGGACTGTTGGTTTAGTCTCCCCTGTTGGGGCTGAGGACAGGAGGCTGAGGTGGCAGCATCCACCCAGGTGACACTGTTGGTGAGTCCCCTCACCTGCTAGCTGCATGGTCTCAGGACACGTGATGCCCCTTCACCACGCAGACAGCAGCCTTGATTGACCTGCTCTGCAGGTCCTAGGTCGAGAGAGGAGCTTGGGGGAAGTGCTGCCTCTACTGGGGCCTGCTGCCTTTGGGCACCCAGGAGAGCCCCTGCATTTCTCAGCATGCCGGCGTGTTCCTTCCTCAAAACTCGCGGCAGACCCATAGCGCTCCCCATGACGAGAAGCCCTTCCTGGAGTTGCTGGTCGTGTGACCAGGTGCCAGTAGTCCAAGGGCCTGCCTTGGAAGTTGAGCGGGTTGTCGAGCGTGGGAGGGGGTCTGTAGTCCTGTCTGGGGAGGGGTCAGGAGGGCGGTCGTGGAAGCTGAGGTGTCGTTGGGGAGGGAGGAACAGAGAGGCCACCACAGCAGGGGTAGTGCTGCAGCCAAGACTCAAGCCTCAGGGTGCCCCTTGGGTGTGAGAAAGGCTGTGTGCCCTCCTGGATGGAGGCAGCGTGAGCCAGAGGTGCAGAGGCCAGTGGAAGGCCGGCGTAGGGCTGTGGGCAGGGTGCGAGGGCAGGGCAGGAGGTGGAGAAGACAGAGCACTCAGGTATGGCCTGTGTGCATCCCTTAGGGTCAGATTTTGGTCCGGTGTCTGCCGGATGGTTTCCAAGAGTGACACGAGCATGCACGTTGTCTTCCTGCACCTGCTCTGGCTCCCGGAAGCTCCAAGCCCACGTGCTGTCACTGAGCGTGTCTCCTCATGATTCGTCATGTTTCTGCTTTATTCACCTCATCTGTGTGTCTTGTAAAGCTGCCTCGAAATGCTTTTGGCAAAGAAGAGCCTGTGTATTTAAAAACTAAAGATTGTTAAACTGGGTGTACCAAACCCCTGTCTAATGGCCTTGAACTTTCTTACAGCACTATGTAGGAGGGAATGCAGCTTTGATTGGACAGAAATTTGCAGCCAACTCAGATTTAAAGGTAGGTCCAATTCCTACATTAAAACCTATGCCTTGGGGGGCCAGCAGGTGGCGTGGTTGGGGCACTGGACTCCTACATGGCCAACTGCAGTTCGAGTCCTGGACCTGTCGCTTGCTTCTCACTTTCTTTCCCTCTCTCTGGTCAAATTAAAAATGATGATAAATAAAACAGGTATTTAAAAAAAAAATCTATGCCTTTTGCTGGTGTTTGGATGATTTTAGGAGCAAGAGTGTTCAACAGACGGATCTCTTGATATGTGAAACTCAGGTCTCTTACTAGGAGGCGGTACAGTCCTGGTGGGAGACGAGGGGTCCCTGACACCCTCGGGCGCTCGCCATTTGCTGGCAGTCAGTGCTCTCCACACCGACCCGTCCCTCACAGCCCCCCTCAGGTCAGCTGGCACTGAGGCGGTACCACTGTTGTCTAAGGCTTCTCGGCGCCCAGGGCCCAGAGAGGTGCCCAGCTGACGAGCAGTGGGGCTGGGGCTCTGCCCTGGTGGGCTGGCCCAAGCACACGTGTGCAGGCACCGCATGGTGGAGGGGTAAAGCGTGCAGCCTGGGAGTCGGTGCCTGGAACACGGGTGGTGAGAGAACACAGCCGGCCTCGTTGGTGACCGGGACCCGGAGTGGCCAGGAGTATCTTCTAGTCTCGGACCGTGTGGTTTAAGTGGGAGTAAAAACTGCGACGTTCTCAGTAACAGCTCAAATGTCGACTTTTACTTACGACTTACGTTTGTATGTACTCACTATATGGCTCTGCAGGGCACACTGGTTTTCTAGACCGAGGACACACATGTTCACCTTCAGCACTGAAGGTCACCTTATGCACATTGGATAACTGTTCTGGGTTTTTGTTTTTGTTTTATTTTCCATTTATTTACTTATTTATTTATTTATCTATTTCTTTCTTGTGATTTTCATGCCACCGGGTCTGAGACTTGAGCCACACCACCTGCTGGTCTGGTTTTAGTTTTTCTCTTGTGTTTATCAATAGTTGAACTATGTTACACCACCCCAGAAGTCTTCCCATGGTTAACGCAGTTTTGTGTTCACTAACAGTTTTCTCAGAGTCATTGTCCCCCACCACGGAGCGTCTGTCTGCCGTTGCCGTCACTGTCTGCTCTCTGGGCCAGCTTTCACCGTAGGGTGCAGACATCCGGTGTGTGCGGAGCAGGGCTGTGGTATCTCCTGGTCTGGCTTATTTCACTTAGTATTGTCCCTTCTCGGTTCATCCTCTCTGCACCAGTGGCAGGGTTTTGCTCTGCCTGGACGAGTAGCACCCCACTGTGTGTACCCTGTCTCCCAGCCCGCTGCTCGGCACTGAGGGCGATTGTCCTCCGCTGTCGTGATAATGCCGCGCTAAACACAGGCGTGCAAATGCCTCCACCTGAGTGCTTGCCTGTCCTCGGGGTGCCTGTCCAGGAGTGGGGTTGCTGGGTTGTGGCAATCCTGCGTTTAGCTCTCGAGGCCGGCTGTCTGCAGTGGCTGTACAAAGTTGCATTCCCACGCGAGCCCTGGGGGCCTCGTCGCTGCAGCCTCGCCAACACGCCGATCGCGTCCATTCTGGCTGGAGTAGGTGGTACCCGCTTCCTGTATGATGCGATGTTGAACCCCTTTTCATAATGTTTATTGGCCATTTGCATGTCTGTCTGAAAGTTTCTACGCAGGTCAGCTGCCCACTTTAAATTACTAGGTTTTTGGCAGGTGGGCTGTCTGAGTTCCTGATGTATTGTGGTTCTCTCCCTCCCCTTCAGTTGCCAGGAGGCACATGCTTTTGCCAGAGAGAGAGAGAGAGAGAGAGAGAGAGAGAGAGAGACTGTGTGTGCGGGGGGTGGGGAGGATGGTGACGCTGCAGTCCCTCAGTCTTCCGTGTCTCTCTTCAAGATTTCAGGCACATGTGCGCACGTGTGCTGGCATATTTCTCAGGCTGTTGTGCTCAGGACTTGGCCCACACAGTTGGCCACCGGGGATTCAGCTGCTTTAACCACTGGGCCATGGGCTGGCCCTGCCATGGCCTAGTCTCAGGTGGCGGGGGGGGGCGCCGGCCGGGAGGCTTGGACGGGGCGTGAGGGTTTCACGGCGGCGCACCGCCGTTCTCCCCTCCAGTGGCCACCTTTGTTGCAGTAGGTTTTACTTCTGCGCTCGTCATGGGTGTGACTACACTCTATTTTCTTGGAACAGTCAATTCTCTTTTAAAGAGATTTAAACGACATCTTACATGCTTCTCCAGAGTTGCCAATTCCGGGCTCTTCATCCCCACGTCCAGCGCCATGCTTCCACCTGGTCTTTTCCTCCTGCCCGGAGGGCTTGCCCTGACGTCCCGTGCAGGGCAGGCCGGTGACCGTCCACCATGTTGGCATCTGAGCTCTCGCGTAGCTCTGCCGAGGCAGCTGCAGGCCGCTCCATCTCCCGTGTGCTCAGCTCGTGGTTCTCGGTTGCCTGACGTCCAGGGGTTTTGAACCCCGTCCTCTCGTTATTCTGTCTGCTTTTTCTCGTCGTTTCAAGCAGGAAGGTAAATGTGGCCCTGGGGATGGTATGTCAGAAGTGAAGTTCCACCCAGAGTAGAGGGAGGAGGGTGTGGCTTTGAGGACTGGCCAACAGTAGCCAGAGTTGAGGCAGAAAGGGGAGAGGCGCTTCTGTCCGGAGACCGGGCTTTCCCAGTCACAGGCCCTCCCTGTAGTGTGGTGCACCGACAGGCAGTTCACGAGCCAGTAAAGAATGCCTTCTAAAGCCGCCAGATAGGGCATGTTAAGTCTGAAACAGCATCGGCAGTTCTGGGGCTTGCCTTTAACTCCTTCCACGCCCTCACTCCGTGGGTCTGAGTCTGTCTGCCTGGCTCCAGGGGCATGACAGAAATGGCAGTCATTGAATGGAGGAGCAGCAGTAGCTTCTAGAAGGAATAGCCAGGGAAGGGGCGGGCTGGAGTGGGGAGGTGGCAGATGGCCCGCCCATGCTTTCTAAGCGAGCTGCTTGGAGGCCTCTTGTTTGAAACACTTTCACGCTCCCACAACAAGGAGAGAGCGTGATCTCACGGGTCAGGTCACCAGGCCATTGCGGGTCTGGGTGCCAGAGCTTGCTTTACCTGTACAGTTCGGTGGGCGACTTCACTGGCAGCTTTGTGCACGAGGCATCCATGTCCGTCTGCCTACCAGGGCAGTGGGTGGGAACGGGGGCTGGGGCTGCTGCTCTCTCAGTGCTCTCTCAGTGCTCCAGGGACTGCAGAGTCCAATCCAAGTTCCAAGTTCCGTCCGAGTTTGGTTTCTGGTGAGGGCGAGGGTGTTCCTGTGTCCGCGGGCCTCCGTGCCCGTGCCGGGGGAGGGCTGGCTGGCTCAGTCCCTGCTCATACGAGGCCAGCAGTCCCGTGTGACTGGGACGTTGTCCTTATGGCCTCAGTTCACCTCTTAGTTTTATTTACTTATTCCATGACAGAGGGAGAGTGAAGCAGACACAAGCCCTCCTAGCAGGTCCTCACGCTGAGACCCACCCACAGGCTCAGCCAGCCTGGGCCACGGGAGTGTGTACGCACACATGCCCAGCGTGTAGAGGGGGCCCGGCGCACAGCCAGGGCTGCCCATGTGGGCCCAGCTGTACCCGTCGGCCCTGTCTCGTGTGCCATTGCTTGGGGTTTGGGCTCAGCCTCAGTCTTGGGGGATGTGAACACTGAGTCCATAGCAGGGAGCTGGGACCAGCAGCTGCCCAGGTCCTGAACCAGCGTGCCATAGGTCTCCTGTCTGCCTCTCGTTCTAAGCGCACACAGCCATGGCCTCAGGCCCAAGCCCTGGACTGGCCTGCTGCCAGGTCCCCAAACAGGAGACCAGTGAGACCAGGACCTCAGGGCTCGATGAAGGGACTAGGCTCGACCAAGCACACCAGCCT